TTTTTTGAGAGGTTTTCGCTATAGGGCGCGTGCTCTCGCCAGACAGACAGAGACAGAGAGACAGAAAGCAAGAAATCACCCCCCCCCCCGGGGAGAATGGCCATGCCGCAATCCCTTCTCCTCCATTCTCCTCTTGGGATCTTCGGCATGCACGCACACGTGCCCGGCGTGAGTTTAAGCCACTGGGTCCAGGACTCGAACCATGGTCGACTACGTGGGAGTCCAGCGTCATAGCCATTATGCTAACTGCTGGTCCCCCCCCCCAGCATGATTTTTTAAGCTGCAGATTCCAGTGAAGTCAGCCATGTGAAATCCAGTTGTCTTAACCTCCATGCCCAAGGCCCAAGGACTCTACTTCTAATGCTACAAAGAGCCCTGACAGTTCATGGCATGAACTATTTATAGAGATGTAAATCAATAATTTGACACTTCTAAATCACCTCTGATAAGAGGCAAGGAATTTGGTGACTTAAAATTTATGATTATGTTTCTTTTAAATTGTTTTGAAAAATCCAAGAATAAGACATCAATTGATGGAAAAAAAAAAAGGTGAAGTCAAAAATTTTAATTCTGGGGGACCAGCAGTTAGCATAATGGGTATGTCGCTGGACTCCCACGTAGTCGACCACGGTTCGAGTCCTGGCCCCGGCGGCTTAAATTCACACCGGGCGCATGTGCATGTGTGCTCAAGATCCCGAGAGGAGAGTAGAAGAGAAGGGATTGTGGCGTGGCCATTCCCCCTGGGGGGTGATTCCTCGCTTTCTGTCTCTCTGTCTCTCTCTGTCTGTCTGGCAAGCACATGCGCCCTATAGCAAAAAACTCTCAAAAAAAAAATTTAATTCTGGGATGAACCTCTGCATAAATAACCTAGAAGTCTCTAAGTGTGCCCTGAGTCAAAATCTTCTCTCTTGTATCCAAAGCACTGAAATTGTTGAAACTCAAACTCAAACATAAGCACTCATCATGCAACTGACTACATTACAATGAAAGTTGAACTCTTAGCCTCACATGCTATCAACTGTTCAAGAATTCTTTCAGTTTTTATCTAGGGAATTATGTTATTTCTCCTTCTCATTTGAAGGATGATCTTGCTGTGATAGTATTACTGGCTGAAATACTGGCTGAAACTGACTTTCTTTCAGAATTTTGAATGTCTTCACATTTCCTCTTTGCCTACATTATTTCTTTTGAAAGATCTGAGATTTATCTGATGAGGTATCCTTTGTAAGTAACTTGACACTTCTCCCTTGCCATTTAAAGAATATTATGTTTGTCTTTGACTTTTGCCAATCTGGCTATGCTGTACCTTGGAGAGAATAATCTCTTTTTTTTTTCTTTTTTTAAAATTAATTTATTCATTCATTTGTTTATTTTTAATTTGACAGAGAAAGACACATACAGAGAGAGAGAAGGAAAGTGAGAAAGCAAGCCACCAGATCTGGGACTCAAACCCTGGATGACCATGTGTGAGTGTCCAGCACCTTAACCACCACACTTACTGCTGGTCCCCAGAGAGAATATTCTTAAATTGAATCTATTTGGTGTCCTTTGTATTTCCTAGATCTGGATGTCTGTCTCTCTAGACTTGGAAAGTGTGTAGATAGTATTTTATGATATAAATTGTCTATGCCTTTACCTATTTCCTCACACTCTGGAAGACTCATTATGCAGATATTCAACTGCTTCATGGTGTCCCAAATTTCCCATAAGTTTTCATTTTTAATAGTTATTTTTTCTTTCTTTTTGGTAGCTTAGACTAAATTAAAGATTTTGTCTTTGAGCTCAGAGATTCTTTCCTCTGCATGGTCTAATCCGTTG